CCTTTCCCCATGTCTTACCAAAAATCACACCAAAGCTGCCTCTAGTTTAAAATGTCTAACTTGGGGAGATTGAAAATGGTTACATTGTCTTAGTTTTTTTTAATTTTTATTTTTTTTTTATTTTTTTGGCTAGGCAGTGGAGTTAAGTGACTTGCCCAGGGTCACACAGCTAGTATATCATGTGTCTGAGGCCGGATTTGAACTTAGGTCCTCCTGAATCCAGAGCCGGTGCTCCATCCCCCGCCCCACCTATCTGCCCCACATTGTCTTAGTTTTAACCCACAAGCTCAGTTGCCTTCATTCCTGCCCTCTGTTGGGGATGAAGCAGTGTGGCTTAGGAGACAGCGCTGGCCTTGGTTTAAGGAGAACCCGTGTTCCTGATGCTGCTCTCTTTGAGCCCCACTTTCCTCTGTAGCGTAGACATGTTGAGACTCAAATGAGGTAGCGTATGAGGCAGCCTTGAAAAAGTGCTTTGTAAATGTCTGCCATTATCATGTGTCCACCTTTCATTGGAATACTAGAAATAGGTAAACCCCAAAATCTCCTTGGCCTTTAAAATTGGAACGGCCCATTCTTTTCTCCAGTTACAGCACGATGGGTTTTTCCAGATAAGCTCCCTTACCTTTGTTGTATTTGTGTAGCTGACATTTGTGGAGGCTTTGGATTTGGATTATAGCTTCTTTCCAGTAATAATGATAGATGTTGTAACTCTTGTGGTAAAGAATTAAAAGACACTGTTCTAAGAACTTTCAACAGGGAAATATTCCATGAGCATTGCCCAGAAAAAAGTAGGAGAGAGGAGAAATTAAGGCAAATGAATAGGAAGAAGGAAGCTTAGCTTTGTGTAGTGAGCATGCGGCAAAGCCCAGTTGTTGCACCAGAGATAAGACTCTTGCCCCATCCTACTGGAGGGTGGACCCAGTCACTGTTGAGGCTAGCAGAAGTTCAGGTATTGAGGCAGTTCTTTCAGGTTAATAACGGGGCCTTCTGTTCTTCCTGTTCATTTACTGTGTGTCAGAAGTTTGCTAGTGCAAACTTATTCGCCTTTAAGAAGCCTCAGAATTATACAGGAAGTTTGAGATGATGATGATGGCCTCAGAAAGTGGAATGACTCGAATCCAAACTTCTTTAAGAATATTTGTGTCTTCTAATGTGTAGGACTCTTACTGTGTAGGAACTCAATAGGTGCTGCTTGGGGAAAAAACTTGGATTTTTTACTCAGGTCTGAGGAGCTTACATGGCCTCTTTCTGCTCTCCCACAAACTAGGGAGCCAGCCCTTCAGGGTGTCTATCACCTGTCCACACGGCCTCCAGTCCCCAAACCTTGGCTACATATATTCCTTTTAGTATTTCTAGTCATCCCATTGAAGTCCTAAATAAATTAGGTTAGCTAGCCTTGTAGCATACCCCTGTGCTGAGTCTTGTGGGTAAGGAACTGGACCATGATCCTCCCGTGAATCAGCAGTAATGACTTCCTAGCTGGTGCTGTGACCTAAGTAGTGCCACCTGTCCGTGCTTTCACAATGGAGTTATATGTGGGTATCATGTTGCCAAATAATTTGTTGTGACTCTTGTTGAAAATGATATATATGGAGCCCTTAATTTGGAGGTGGGGAAAGAGACTCTTAGGCAGAGATCTTATCATTGCTGTGGAGAAGGTAAATGGGCAGGGGCTCTGTAGTCAGCTTTGGAGGCCCCGCCTTGTTGACCATCACAGATCTGGAGCTTCGAATTTGGGCCAGTTAACCAGTTAACCTCGTCTTGTTTTGGAGCATTAGTTAGGACTAAGTGCTTCCTTCAGGGAGGGGTCCATCCAGTGCTGTGATCTTGCTTAAAATTAACTCTTCCTGCTAAACAGTCTGAAAATGAATCCCTATCGGCTAGTCACTGTCTGGCTAAGAAAAATTTGCCCTAATGTTATCCTAGCCAGCTTTCCACAAACAAACAGCCTCCTTGCAAAAATAGTGCTATGAGCTTTATCTCTGAGCCCCAGGCCTGGCTGCACCTTCAATCTTTCTGCTGCCGGGTGTGCAGTGTTAGAGATAACATACCCAGACCCTCAGTTCTGCTGAATTGACTTGCTGGCCGTAGCGGAATGGAAGCAGAGAGGTTGGGGTGGAAGAGGTAGCAGTAATAAGATCGTGTATTTGTAACTCGGTCAGTTGCAGAGTCTCTGGTGTTTCAGAACTAAGTACTTCCCGGACTTGCTTTCTATCAGAGTGATTCTTTAAGTGTTATGAAATTGTTCCTTGTCAGTGTTGTAATGGGTGGGGGAAGTCTTGAGTAATGGGTGGGGGAAGTCTTGAAGATTGGCCTTCTGGGTGAGTTGACAGGTCGATGCAAATCAGGAACCATGCTCACCAGTCCTTTTATTTCACAGTGACTCCTAACATGCATGTAACTTGCCAGTGCCCTAAGAAATGTTGAAATATTTGTGCTCATCTCTAGAAGTAAAAATTTGGCCATGTGCTGCTCTTTTCATTGCCCCTACCCCCCCCATTTTTTTCCCTCTTTTCTCAAGATTAATTCCGGGGAAATGAACAGTCAGAAGTATCTCCTGAATTTTCAGCTTTTTGAGGGATTAACAACATAATTTTCATGGATCCAGGGGGATTTCCATGATCAACATCAAATTCACCTTTGAAAATTGGATCCTTTTCAGTTTGTAGGACGTTTGTGACAGCCCTCTTGGAATCAGATATAAATGAGTAACAAGACTTAGTTTTCAACTTCAGTCAAGAGTTTGAAAATTGTAGACACTGCTTTTGACCAGAATTATTGGGAATGTCAGTATGAGTGAACCCAGGGGATCCCCTTGTTGTTGACCATCCAGTCAGACCTGCTGGCTGCTGTCATTTTGCCCAAATGGTAGCAATTGGTCTGGCTCTTCAGTGCCGCAAGGGGATGAGATGGGGAGCAGATTTGTGGGTGATGGAGCCCACCTGAAGAAGCTGACCAAGCATGGGGGCTGGTGCCCACCCCTGCAGCTGAAATGTAAAGGACCTTTGCTGATCCTCAGGTTTCAATTTTTTTGGGAAGCCTCCGTCTGCGTCTATTTGGCATTCAGCTTTGAAAGTCAACTAAGCCTTCCTGACTTCTGAAAATTGTCTTTTTCTAGTTTATAAGGCTAATGTTGGTTTGAGTCATACAGTTTGGGGAGAAAGCCCTGCAGAGCTTTGATTCCCTTCATTGGGCAATTAAGGGTCCCCCCTTCTGTTTTCATGAAGTATTGAATAACTTGTGGTTTTGACTTGGTTTAGATAAATTTTTACTAAAGGGGAAATTTTCATTTTTCTTGAAACTTTTGTGCATTGCTACATATATTGCAGGGTGGAATTGCCAAAATTTCTGTTTACATTTTACTAGTTACAAAGTAGACCTGTGATTTCATTTCTGTAGGGAACCTCCAGGTGAGGAAATTCCCTCTACCAGTGAAGCTTGGCACCTTCTCTGCAACATCATGGTCTTAGATGTCTGGAACCCTGAGAAGTTCAAGGTCTTACTTGCCCAGGGTTACAGCCAGTGTATGTCATAGGTGGGAGTTGAGCCTAGGCCTTCCTGGTTTGGAAGCCAGCTCTTTAGCTTCTAAGCCAAACTGCTTCTCTCATTTTTCATAAGATTTTTTGAAAATATCCACAATTTTGCTTCACTTAGCCACTTCCCTTCTTGCATTGGAACGTACACATGGAATGAACAAATGAATTAGGAATAGAGTGGTTATAGAAGGCGTATAAGATTCAGAACTGGAGAAGGACCTCGAGATTATCCTGTTGAATTGCCTTATTCTACAAATGAGGAAAATGAGCCCCAGTGAGGTTGTGACTTACCAAGTCCCACGGGTAGTAAATAGCAGAGCCAATTGAACCAGAGACCTCTGACTCCAAGTCCAGGCTTCTTCCTCTTATGATTTTGGTGTTGGTTCCAAATCAGCTTTGATATAACTGAAGTATAAGAGCGGTACCTTCTCCCCTTTTTTGCTGCGGGCTGCTTTGGGAACTCCTCCCCTCTTCGCTAACTTTGAATTTGGTAATATCTCAGGTGTCAGGCTTGGGGCACGTGGTTGAAAGGCCCAGTAAGTATTCAGTTTAGAGTTAAAGATCATAGTCATACATTAGGTTTCCTAAAGTTTTGTTCACCCTGACTTTTATTTAAATCCATTAATGATATTCTGATAATATCGATTTCCATAGTCTAAACTAGGAAACTTTATTAGGTTGTCTTGTCTTTCTGCCTAGTTTATAGATATGTATGAAAGGTCTAGGCTAAAGTTACACTTAATGGTTTAAAGAACGTATGTTAGCTCAAAACCGAAATTTTCTAGGTAAAATGTGTATTCTCCTATTCCCTTGAATTCCCTGAATTTAGCTTTCCTCTTCCCTTACATGTGTGTTGTGTGTTCGAGTGCTTCAACTTGAATAATCTGGAAACAGCATTGTTAATTAGGTATTTGACTTGGGTTTTATTGTATTTCATTGATTTCTTGTTTTACAGTTTTGTAGTCATTGTGATGTTGCTATTAATTTTGCAGCAGTTACTATGAGTCTTCCTAGTTTTTTTAAAAATTTCTCCCTATTTCATCATTTCTTACAGCTCAGTAATATTTACTTTCACTGGGTCCTGCACTGTTTCCATGAGTGTTTCTAAGAGCAGTGGCTATTAATTCTGTAGAGGGAGTACAGTTATGAGAATCAACCCTTGAAACTATTCCATAAGAACCCCAATCATTAAAAATGCTGAGGGTCCATAGACCATAATGCCAAAATTGGAATAGGATCATGGGAAAGTTATAGCAGCACATAGTTGTGTTCATCCTAACTCCAGAAGAAACCAGTAGAACCAGCACGGATTTGTAATTAGTGCAGCTAGTCTAGCCTTGGCTTTTTGTAATCTGTTAATGAAGGCCACCAGCTTGGCCCAAACCCAGCCATGGGGATGGGGGGGGAGTTATGAGAAGCGGAGACTCTTCACAAAGCTTTAATTTGTGTCTTCTTGCTTTTTAGATGGAAAGAATGCAAGCACATCCAAACGTTATAACCGTAAACGTGAAACTTCCTATCCCAAGAATGAAAACTTTACCAACCAGTCCCGTCGCTCCAACTCACAGAAAAGCAAAACTTTTAACAAGATGCCCCCTCAGAGGGGCGGCGGCAGCAGCAAACTCTTTAGCTCTTCTTCTAATGGTGGAAGACGAGATGAGGTAAGGCTTCTGTGAAGGTTCCCTGGACTCTGAGAAGCATGGCAGCCTGCCAACTGTGTCTCCACTTTGTGAAGATCACCGAAGTATCACCTTGAGTGCTTGTGGGAAAGCCCTGCCATTCTTGAAACGCTTGCTCCTTCTTCCTCAGAAGGTGGTGAACATGCCTTTGGAGACGGGAACGTGTTTTCAGGATGGCTGCGAATCACAGCATCCGTAATCGCTGGGTTTTGAGGTGTTTTGGATGATTTGGTTAACTTTAGCTTTGTGTAGAGGCTCTTCTTGAAGTAGGAAGGATAATATCCTCTTTAGAATTTCTTAGTTGTAGAATGACATTTAAGATATGTCGTGGCCGGCTCTAAGTCACACTTGGGTGGCATGACAATGTCTTTCATGATGGAAAACCTGCAGGCTGGGCCATGTGCTTTTACAGTATGTGTGAGAGACATAGGATTTCTTTCAGATGATTGTGTGTTTGTACCACTTGTTAAATTGGTTTTTAATTTGATGCTGATAAGATTTATTTCTAGCCTGGGAATTAGTCAGCCCACAAGTCGTAATTCTGTCAGTTTCAATTAAAAATGAGTAGAGATGTGTCTGAGAGTCTTTTCTGGCAGGATCCTTAAGCTTGTGGGAGGGAGCCACAGCAGGTTGGTCTCCCAGGGAGCTCAGCTCCAAGGGGCAGTGTCAGCTGAGGCTGGCCCAGGGAGCAAGTAGCTAACAAGGGTGAGGAGGAGATGGGCATCTTGCTGCAGGCTTTTGTTTAAAGGAGAAAATAAAATAAAAACCTCTCTGTACCCAGATTTGCACAACAGAGGTTCCTGCTGTTTTCTGTTCTTAGATGACTTATTGCCCTGTAGGAGGGCAGACTGGCTTCGTCAAAACAGTCAGCACAATACAGATTTCCCGCTCCAGTTTTTGGGGGCCCTTTTACTTGGCCTGATTTTAGACTGTTCTCTTTGGAGTGGGCAAATGCTTTGTTTCTGTCTGTTTTAATCTGTTAGCTACGGCTTCATTTTGTCCAGTGGCCAGAGTAGAATTTAATGAGTAGTGGGGGTGTTGTACTGGCATCTGAGCGAAATCAGTGCTCGGGTCATCTTCAGCTAAAATGGTGCTATTTTTTTCTCAAGGTAGCAGAGGCTCGACGGGCAGAGTTCAGCCCTGCCCAGTTCTCTGGTCCTAAGAAGATAAATCTAAACCACTTACTGAACTTCACTTTTGAGCCCCGTGGCCAGGCGGGCCACGTGGAAGGCAGCAGCCACGGCAGCTGGGGGAAGAGGAACAGATGGGGACAAAAGCCTTTTAACAAGGAGCTCTTCTTGCAGGCCAAGTGAGTAGGCGGGGGATTCTCTCCTTCTCCGCTGCTTGTGAGGGGCACCTGTGCTTGTGTGCTGGGGGCGGGAGGCGCGGGGGGAGCGAGGCACCCATTGGCGCGGTAAGGACCGGACCGGTGGGGCCACGTCTGGGGTAGAACTGCCTTCTTACTCAGATCTCCCTCTCTCGAACACCGATAAAATCTGCTTGTTGTTCTAAAGATGTGTGGGGCTAACCGTAGGACGAGGCTTGAATCTGATTGCAGGCTGGGCAGCCATTTGGTTTACTTCCCTGTTTCCCAAGTCCAGCCTCCAGGGACAAAACTGGCTGCTTGGCCCTTGACAAAGCAGCATTCTGGGCTATTTTTAGTTCTAGAGAGGCTTGGGGGAGGGGCTGGACTGGCTTTTGCGATGGTGGAAATTGAGTTCAGTGGTTCTTATTAAACTCAAGTCCATGGGGCCCTTTTGTAACCTTTCAAAGTAGAGGTTCTGTGCGGTACCCCAGTGTAGAGTTCTGTGTACAAGATAGTATATGGGACTGCTTTTGACTTGAAATTGGACAGCATGGCTATCGTTTGCCAGATCTACTGATGGGCTGCTCTTTTCCTCCCCCAATTCCCCTTCCAGCTGCCAGTTTGTTGTGTCCGAAGACCAAGACTACACAGTGCATTTTGCTGACCCTGACACCTTGGTCAACTGGGACTTTGTGGAACAAGTGGTCAGTAGCACAGCTCAGCTTGTTGACAGGGGGTGGGTGAAGAAATTCAAGGGGTTCTTCCCTCCCTTCCTCTGTCAGGTCAAGTTTCTGTTGAGACTTCTGTGTCCTCCAGGGGAGAATCTTAGTTATGAAGTTTTAACCCCATTTTCCAGGGATAAGGAATTCAGTGTGTAGCTGGGGAATCAGCACTGGTTCTGGGTGTAGTTGGGTTAGAGCAGCCTCAGTTGTAGCCTCAAGCTCTAGTAAAAGGTCTAATTGTGTCAGAAAGCAATAGCCAATTGGACTTCGGGGAGGGGGTGAGTTGACTTTTAGACCCAGAAGGTGATGATTGCATGGAACATGATTTCATTTGCAGCTGACTGTTTGGACACAAGGCTTGTTATGCAAATATTTGGACCCAATCAAAGTAAAAATATCCCCAAACTTAGTCTCCAGGGACAGAGCCAGCAGATGATTGAGCCACACAGCTGTATTTCCTCATCAAGAGAAGGGAAAAATAAAATCATAGAGTCATAGCTGTTTTCAGTATTCATTATGAATGCTAAAAGTTCTGGAAAGCCTTTGAACAGTCTCTTGCTGAATCATACCAGTGGGCCTGATTTATCTTGTAGATCTTCTCTAAAGAGAAAGGAGTCCTCGAAGGAATCACCTTTCTTCTCTCCCTACCTTGGAAAAAGCGTGGGTTCTTGTTGGTATAGAACTCAGTGCATTTAAAGGCAAACTGAAGCTGCTTCTCAGCAGATTTGAATTAGAATTCTGCTGGGCATAAACACAGTTTAACTTCATGTCATCTGCCAGGGCGAGAGCTGTCTTGAAATGTAACAGATTTGCTTGTAAATGGCATTTATAAATGGTTTCTCTCGTGCACAATAGAAGGTATGAACGTGCAAAGATTTTTTTGAGGAGTGTCTGGGATGGTCAGGGAGGGGCAGGTTGGTGAGCTCTGCCCCGTCTCATTCTTGTGCCTCTCTAGCGCATCTGTAGTCATGAGGTGCCGTCCTGCCCATATGCCTTTACCCACCAACTGCAGCCAAGATCACACGCTGCGGGCACATTTTCTGCTGGGCGTGCATACTGCACTACCTTCATTGAGCGAGAAGACCTGGAGTAAATGTCCCATCTGCTACAGTTCCGTTCACAAGAAGGATCTCAAGAGGTGAGGCTGACAGGCAGTGCACCAGTCCGTAGCGCTTCAGGTGCACGTTATCTCCGCTTGACAGTTCTCTTCCCGCATTACAGTGTTGTTGCTACAGAGTCACGCCAATACGTTGTTGGCGATACCATCACCATGCAGCTCATGAGAAGGGAGAAGGGTGTGTTAGTGGCTTTGCCCAAATCCAAATGGATGAATGTAGATCAGCCTATTCACCTTGGAGGTGAGTTACCTGCTTAATTAATAGTACCTTGGCACAACCTCTCCAGAGCCTCCTAACTAGGACGTTTGACTTCTGAGTTGGTAGACCAGGGATATCAACCCTGAGGCCCACGAGGTGTCCCCAAACTCCCAGGTGCGGCCAGAACCACATCCCAGTGTAATTGGGAAATGTTTAACAAGATAAATAGAAATACGGTACAATCTAGATGATGTTAATCTAGTTTTCTAAGTCACTGTGCAGCCATAGGGATCCTCTGTTTGAGTTTAACACTGCTGTGAGAGGCAGCCCTAATCTGGTCCAGTCCCACTTGTGCTTGCTGGATGTGGGTTTTCTTGTTGGTGTCACGAGACCAGCAAAGTGAAGCGATCTTCAGCGTCCAGGCCTGATTACATCTTATGTGCAGTGATTGCAGCCCTGATAGTGACAGATATTGGTTTTGGTTGTGCGTCATTGGTATTAATGAGTTTACCAAGTTGGGGTCTGGGTTTTTTCCCCTTGGACAGATGACCAGCACAGCCAATACTCTAAACTCCTGCTGGCCTCCAAGGAGCAGGTGCTACAGAGAGTGATTCTAGAAGAGAAGGCTGCCCTGGAGCAGCAGCTGGCAGAGGAGAAGCACTCTCCTGAGGCGTGCTTTGTGGAGGCCGCCCTCCAGGAGCTCAAGGTGAGGAGACCGAGCAGAAGGGGCGTCAGAGAGACAAGCTGGGAGAGGGAGTCAGTGTTGAAATCACACACAAAGGCAAATCAGGGGCTTTTCGGTGTGCCTCACTTTCTGTTTCCCATGAATTAGTTTTGTGCTGTGGCTTCATTAGAATATGATCCTGAATCCTTAAAGGAATGTTCAGTTGTTGGGTGGATTTATTGCAATTAAACCCCTCAGCAGCTTATCTGTTTACTGATGTGTTTGCTGATGCCTGCTTTGTTTGAAGCACAGCCAGATTCCATGAGGGGGGAAAAGATGAATAAAATGTGGTCCCTGCAGTCACGGAGCTGACCCTGGAGTAGTAGCTGGTGTAATTAGAAGCAGATCCGAGGCCCTCCAGTGTGTCGTTGGTGGGATGACAAGACAGGTGCAGACATCCTGGCGGGTCATGTAACTGTGTCACAAAACTGATCTGACCTGACTCAGTCCCATCCCCGAGACTTTATTACAAAATCACGAATGGATCTATAGGGAAAAGATAGCTATTCTAAATGTAATAGCAAAACATTGGAAATGGCCCGTGTGTCTGACAATTGGAGAAGAGTGCCATTAAAAAGCAAAGGAAACATCTAAGGAAATGTGGAAAGATGTATGTGAAACCAGAACTGTACACAGATTTCAGATATACTTTGCATGTAATGCAGTTTACAATCCTTTTTTAGGAAGAGAGAAAAACGAGGTAAAAGGATTTCTAGACAGACTTGTAAGTCACAGAAAGGCATCTTCGTTTTAATTCCTTCAGTTCTTCCTTATTAAAAGCTAAGAGGAGCCTTGGAGTCAAGCCTTGAGGGATGGGTGTGGTGTTTGTGGACTGAGATGCTGAGGTGAGGGCAGCTTGTGGGATTACCAACAGGGGATCAACATGTTACTCATAGGGTAGGGACAGCAGAAGAGGCACAGAGGGGAAAGACAGGGCCCCAGGGAAGTCCAGTTTGGCCAGAGTATAAAGGTGTGAGGGAGGGATGATGGGAGAAGGATAGTTAGGACCAGCTTGTTCACATCTTAGATGAGTGTTAAGGACACTGAAGTGCTTGAAGAATTCTGAGTAAAGGCCACATCAATATTTAGTATCAGTTAGAGGAAAGAGCCCTGGTACTGATGGGTTTTCTTGCTTCTAGTGATAGTTCCAGTGACAGATAATGAGGGTCTGAAGCAGGTTAGAAGCAGGAGGATTTAACAAGGTAGGACAGATGTGACGAAGCATTTCAGAGGTGGCATAGTTAGGCCTTGTTGCCTCAAGGGGCAAGGGAGGAAGGAAGAGAAGGGAGAGAAAGATGACTCTCGATCTCAAGCCAGGGGGCCTGGGAAGAGGAGGCGACCATGGGCACAAGAAGCAGGCTTGACTTGTTGAGTTGGAAGGACGGATTCTGGTGCCCCGATGGCACTTAGGCTCAGAATTAATCTACACTTCTCTAAGAGGAGGAGGGGCAGCATGGAGCAGCTGTTTCTTAAGGTCCCTTCCTGTCTACACATGCTGTCCGATTTTAGAAGAATCTTTTACAAAAAGAAATTTTAAACATTTTCATTCGTATCAGACAAAACGGTACATCCCAGAAACCTGTCTAATAAATACATTCCCCCAAAACATTCACTTTATTGATGACCAGAAGGGAAGGATGTGTCCTTTGCCTTGGATATTATAGTTGTCTCTCTGAGTTGGCTTTATGTTGGCATAGTCACATGGTTTGGTTTTTTGGCTCCGCTCTCTTCATTCTGTATATGCCTAATTAAGCCATAGTCCCTTTATTCCTGAAGCATTCTGGTTAATTGACAGACATTTTTCCTGTGGAGCACTTCACACTTGAAGGTTTTCCAAGTACCTTTGGGAGAATTTGAGCCTGGAGGAAATTGCCTCTATTTTAGGCTGCTAGGTTTCCCTCTGGTGACCCCTGCTGGACATTGAGAGCATCGAGGGAATTTTGCCCAGGTGTTCTCTGTTTCTTAGGGGTCTGGTTCTCAAATTAAAATTACGTACTTAATTCGTGTCCTTTAATTTTGCCACTACTGTCCAGTCTTTGGTTTTCATCACAAAAACTTGTCTTGTCGTATTGAAGTCAAGTCCTCTGTCCAGAGGACTGTATGCTGGGGAAGCATTCTTGGTAAAGCAGTCTACCGTCGGCCTTTTGGGCTGTAAACATGAGTGGCGAGTGTCCTTGTTGTTCTAACAAGACCTCTATTGATTATGCTCATTCGCTGATAGTGACAGCTTTGGGCAGAGATGCCAACAGGCCTTAGCTGGCAGGACTAGTTAGAGAAAGAGGCAGGGGCCAGTCCAGTGAAGCAGCCTGCCCCACCCACTGTGGAAGGGCATCTCTGGCCACCAGAGAGCTTTCACGTTGTGTTCCCTTTTCCTGTGGGCTGAACAGCCTGCTTGGTTAGACTACATGGCTGTCCTTGTGTTGCTCCTGGGAGAGGATATTATGGTTCCTTTCCCTGCAAAAAGGATTTTCTTTTTCAACAAGATGGGATGAACCCCACGTTTCTCTCTGGCATTAGGCTCGAGAGGAAGCTTTATCAGGATTGGATGCAGCCAGAAGTGGCCAGGTCACTGATGTTGTGACAGCTGTAGAAGAGTTGGTCCTGATAGCGGCCCCCTTGGACAAAGAGCCACTGCTCCAGCCTAGACCCCAGGTGGGTGTGTTCCTTGATGCTAATTAGCCCATGTCATTGCTTACCTATTACTATTAATGAGCTTGCAGACGTGCACCTTGTCTCGGTTGACTGGGGCTCCCTAAACCCTTAAGCATGTGCCCATTCGTTTTTCACATCTCTGACATAGAGAGGAGTAGGTGGTCAGTTTCCCACTTTTAGTCTAGGGGAAACAGAATCCTCTAGAGGCCAGCTAAGTGATTTACCAGAAAGAAGACAGAGGGAGTGCTAGAATCCAGATGGTAGCTCCCAGGCCTGTGTCTTTTCCACGGGATGGTGCTGATATGTCTTCTTAGCAGGAAGTGGATTTGCTGTTGATTAGCTTTTGTTTCAGCAGTGTATACTGGAGTATCTGTCTGCTTTTGATGAAGAAATTGTGGACCCTTGCCCTAGAGGATCTCCTTCTCTTCCTCTTCCTTCTCCCCACCTGGTGGAAGAGGAGGAGGCAGGGACTGAGCTGGAGCCTGGGGTGGTAACAGAGGTATATGACTCGGAGACACTGGATGGAAATGGTATAGAAGGGACCACATGCAGCAAAATCAGCCAGCAGGAGCCCAAGGCCACCCTTGGTGCCAGATCCTTGGGCAGCTCTCCTTGTTACTACTTCTATCAAGGTTAGTGGCACTCAGGAGGGCGGGGCTTCTCTGCAATTGCTTTGATCAGACTACCAAAGGGCTCTGTTCCTATTCTGAGCCATTGGGAGGGCTTCGAGACTTGAGAGGAAAGAAGGCTGGGGAATGGTGATGGTGACTCTTGCCCACAGCGGAGGATGGCCAGTACATGTTTCTGCATCCTGTGAATGTGCGCTGCCTGGTGCGGGAGTACGGGAGCCTGGAGCAGAGCCCCGAGAAGATCACAGCCACAGTGGTGGAGATCGCTGGCTACTCTATATCGGAGGTGAGGGCGGGTGTTGTGTGTGCAGACACTGCTCCTGCTTCTTTGAATTCTGAAGACTAGTGGAGACGGAGCTGAAATGCACTGCCAGGCCCTGGCAGTGTCCTGAGCACAAGGCAGCAGGGGGACCGCTTCCTCAGAGCTGCTGCGGTTTTTGTGCCCAGGGCTTTGTGGACTGTTTGCAGTGCGGTGCTTAGGCCTTTGTTGAACTTTGGCTCCCCTTTGCACTGTAGGATGTTCGGCAGCGGCATCGTTACCTCTGCCATTTGCCTCTCACCTGTGAATTCAGCATCTGTGAACTGGCTCTGCAGCCGCCTGTTGTTTCCAAGGAAACTCTGGAAATGTTTTCAGGTAAGCATCTCTCCCTGGGGGGCTCCACGTTCTTTTTTTATGGCTAGAAAACCAATGAGTGACAGCTGCTTCAGCCCCAGTCAGTCATGTTGGGGGAGGAGCTTACCTCTGTCTGACCCGTCTGTGGGCATTGCTGCTTGGGAGTGGGAAAGGGTGTGGGACCAGACTTGGTGCTGAGCGCTTGGCTCACGTTTCCTGACTCTGACCCACAGATGACATTGAGAAGAGGCGTCGGCTACGGCAGAAAAAGGCTCGGGAGGAGAGACGGAGGGAGCGTCGCATTGAGATGGAAGAAAACAAGAAGCAGGGCAGGTGTAAGTTAGAAGGCCTGTCTTCCCTGGGCCCAGAGGGGGCTTTGGAGGGTACCACTGAATTGGGTCCCCAAGGCCCCTAGTGCAGCCTCATTTTACAAGAAGCTCCCTCACAGAAGGCCTGTGGCCTCCCCGTGGCCACACACACACTCGGGGGTCAACGTTGAGGCTCCACATGAGCTCTTCTCAGTGTAGCTCCACGGGCTTAGAGACCAGATGAGCAAGGTGGGGGTCTTAGAGGAGAGGGTGAAGTAAATCTCCTGGCATTCTTTCTGCCATCCGTCATGCTGGTCGGGGAGGGGATGAGAGGGTGTTGTAGGCCCTTCTGAACCCTACTGGTCTTGCCCTGGGCCCCAGGTGTTAGAAGGAGACTGTCAGAACGGTCAGCACAGGCTTTTGGTGCCAGAGGTACACTGTTCAGGAAAACAACATTCGGGCTGGGAGGTTCGCTTCCTGGTGCTCTTGGGGACTGATGAGCACCCATCCTCTGCCTGTTTCTCTTGGGCATGATTTTGGCTTTGGGGGCTGTGATGCTGTGATTGTGGTCCAGCTTGGGCTCTGGGGGAGAGTTTGAGGTCCTGGCTGAGACCAAATTGTCCTACCCTTCCTTCGTAGATCCTGAAGTCCACATCGCTCTAGAGAACCTCCAGCAGTTTCCTGCCTTCAATGCCTGCTCTCCTGATCCTTCTTTGGTTCTCGCCAGCGCTGAGGACCATGGTTCCTTCTCACAGTCTCCTCTTAGCAGAAGCCCAGGGTCCCATGCAGGTGAGGCTGTCAAGTCATCGTCCCCCAGTTGGTCACAGGTTACAGAAGTTATCAGACATGCAGCCCATTACTAAACACCTCAGCTAAAGTTATTAGTCTCTCCTACCAGAACATGTCACCTCAGTTTAAGGTATAATTTTGTTGTTTTCATGATAGATTTTCCAAAGGTCAAGAAGACCACCTTTAGAGTAGGCCAAGGTGACTGGCTCAGGCATTGGTTCTCAGTGTCAGTACTGGACAGTGAACTGGGAGTGAACAGGAGCAATTCATTTTATCCCAGCTGGTTCTCACCATCACATCCTTAGAGTCATGAATGGACATCACAGGGAGGCATTTCAAGTTGACATAAGAAAAAATTTCTTTACCATTGAAGTGATTACAAAATGAAGGAGCTGCATTGGGAGATAATGGTTCCTCTTCATTGGAGGTCTTCAAGTGGAGTCTGGTTGGCTGACGACTTGTCCTGTGCAGTAGATTTCTTGTTCAGCTGTGAGTTGTACTAGATGGCTCCACGTAGACCTTGTATGTGCAGTATACCACCTTGAGGAGCGTGGTGAGGCTTGATGTGCCCAGCTCAGCTCCAGCTACACTTCGTTTTTACTCTGGGCAAACATAACCAGTCTGCCTGTTTCGGATCTGCCAGGTGGGGATTCTTGTATCAAACTGTCCTTGTCTAGAGTGGTGACGGGTATAGGACGCTCCTGAGCTTGGGAGCCAGCCTCAGCATTTCAGATGAGAAGGAAGAGAGTTTATGCACATGAAGGAGTCTCTGTTTTAGAATTCAGTTCCTCTGTGAACAACTTCTCAAACTCCTTATGTGCATGGATAGACCAAGCTTTTTAGCTTCTTTATGAGGAAGATGAAAAGGCAAAGTGGATTAATGTTTGATAATACATTTAATTTGGTTACTATCTTCTCTTTGGATTATTTAGGTCATGTTCTCGTTTTCTTCCTTTTCTGAGGAAAACAACGGCTTTCATTAAGTTACTGTTATGATTAAGTCTACGGTCCTTCCTTTGCAGACTCCACATTGGCTTCTTTGTCACCCACTGATGGTCAGGGCAACCCTTCATTCTGCGTGGGGAGCCTGGAAGAAGAGTCTCCCTTTCCTTCCTTTGCCCAGGTAAACTTTTTGCTGTTGGAGAAGCAGAAGGGTATTTGGCACTACTGCTCATTCTGTCTGAAAGGGGCCTGGTGAACGAGGTCATCTGTTACCATGGGTCCCAAACCCGGATGCCTGACTCCCTGGGCTTCTCTGTATGTGTGTCACTGAGAGCCGGCTGTAAGAACTTCCCCTCTGCATTCCCCTTTTTGAAAATGGTAGCAATCCAAGTTAATGTAATAGCAGTGCTTCCTCTGATGACCATTATTGAATGGGAATGCTTAGAGTTGGAACAAGTGGGAGATGGTTCTAGTTTGTGTGGGTGAAGAGCCAGCAGGGGCCTTGTGGAAGAGAAGGGCATGGATGAACTTTGAAGGTTATTGAATTGTGGGTGTAAAATGTACAGTGGGGTTCCCGTCCCTTCTCTTCAGTACCTGGGCAGGGATGGGGTGGGGTGGAGATTGGTTTTATATAAAGGTGGTTTTAGGTAAAAACCCTTGGCAGCCAAGCCCACCGGTTTTAGCTGGTAGAATATTCAGAGAATAGAGCAGTGTAACTATAGCCAAGTCAGTTTTATGGGATAGTTACTTAATGTTCAGATAGCTAGTGAAGAGTATTCTGTGGCTGAAGTTTTTTGAGAGTGACAATTTATTTCTCCCTGGCTGCTAGTTTAGTAGGTCAGCCAGTTTAGAGTCTTGGTCAGGGATAGTTCCTTGGAGCAGCTAGCATTGGCCTTCACAAAGAAGGTTCAAGCTGGCGTTGCTTAGTAATGGATGGAAGTTGAACATTGGAATATGACAAAGTGGGGTTGGTGATGATGGGAGGGGGTTGTGGTGTTCAACTCTTAGATGTGGGAGCTGGCAGGCCATGGGCCTGAGAGTCTGGCAGTTGTCTTAGTTTTGTTGATACTCCTTCTTTTGAAATCAGATTATCCTTGAGCTTGAGCATGTTAAAAATCTAGGTGGCATGTGTACTTGAACAAAATTCCCATTAAACGGAGAAGAACATCTGTCTGGATCAGAAAGCAAAGCGATACATTACTGGAAAGTGAAGGGCACCTGTTAGAACCAGGAAATTCCACCTAAGAATTATTCTTTGTCCCTGTCACTAAGCTTTAAGTCGTTCTTCTTAGAAGAACAAAAAACCTGCTTGCTTTTCTAGCGTGTGATAGCTTCTAAACGTGTCTGCTTATGACATTCTTGGCAAATGGCAGACGGCTTGGAGTGGCTTGTGAGCATTACTAACCCGGCCTGGTCCGACTGGAGGGGTGTGCCTGCTGCCATCCATGCACTTTTCTTTCTGCCTGGAGGTGGGCGTGGGGGCAGAGCTCTGATTTCAAATGCTCGTGGGAGAAATGTAAAGGCCAAGTCTCAGAAAAGTCAGTGGCTGTTAAAAGGGGAAAGTTACAGCTTGAAATTAAGGGGAGTGAACAGTTTGAGGGCGGTGAGATTGCAGTGTGTTTGAGAAGAATGGGCAGGCTGAAGAGGTGACCCTACCATAAGGCAGCTAGGTTGAAGAGGCACTTATTAAGCACCTACTGTGCTCTTTGCAAAGCACTTTACAATGATCAATCTCACTTATCCTCAAAACAAGGCAGGTGTTATTATCCCCATTTTACGTTTGAGGAAACTGAGGCTCACAGGTTAGGTGTGTGTGACTTACCCCAGGTCCCACAGCCAGCATATGTCTGAGGTCGAGTTTGAGCTCTGGTCGCAGGCCCAGCGCTCTGCCCACCTTACCACCTCACTTCAACTGGAACCACAATACAGACATGACAGCTGCTTGTCACATCCAAGTTTCTACTCGAGGTGGGCAGAGCACTGTTGAATGGAGGGCCTTTGGTAGACGACATTTCAGGAACTAACCTAAGAGACTGTAGCAAGAACTACATATTGACATTATTGTGGACCTCTTAGGCCCTTTCTGAATGCTTTAGATTCTTTTTAATCACGGAAGAAATTCATCTAGGTCTCTAGGCTTGCTTTAGCCTGGACTGTTTGTTGAATAATGATCTGATCTAGGCTTAGTAGTAAATATTTCCCTTTGTTAGCCCAGAGTCAAGGTGAGAGTGCAGAGCTGGATCAGAAACGGGAATATGCTAGGCGAAACTTAATTGTTGTCCTGGCTAACCACACCTTTTCTTTGGCAGATGCTGAGGGTTGGAAAAGCAAAGGCAGATATGTGGCCCAAACCTGCTTCCAAAAAAGGTGAGGTGGGTGGAAGGTTGTTTAGAACCCTGCCTGTGAGGGGAGTGTCTCATGGGTCTAGGTGGCTCAGGTCCTTGCCCTGAGAGTGTTGTGGCGTTTTCTAGATGAGAACACTCTAGCTCCTCCTGCCTCTGTGGACAGTGACGGGGAAAGTGACAACTCAGACCGTGTACCTGTGCCCAGCTTCCAGAATTCCTTCAGCCAAGCGATTGAAGCAGCCTTCCTGAAACTGGACACACCGGCCTCCTCGAACCTCCTCTCTGGTAAGGGCAGAGAAGCCGGCCTACTCAGTACCTTGTGCCTGAACGTGCAATTCTCATTCAACACTGGGAGGGTTACCTGTTAAAAGTTTGTGGCCCCATTTTTACATGGGCCTAATTGTCAAAAAGGGCCGCAGACTAAAAGGAATTCATCTCTCTGAGGCTTATTATTAGCTCACATTTCTGCCACCCTTTGAAGACCCTTTCTTAATGCCACCCCTGCTTGAATCACCGTGTCTGGATCTTTGCCTGCATGACATCCTCAGAGAAAGGACTCTGGTCATCTGTGGGTCTACATTTTCCTAGTCGATGATAAGCTCTTTGGGCCTTCCCCAGAGCAGGTGCTTAAATAGACACCCAGTGGTGGCTTCAGCCTCCCTGGCTCTGGTTACTTGAGCCCCGAGTCATAGCTGAGTCCTGTCTTTGTACTTCCTTTGGCAGAAGAGAAGGGAGGAAAGAAAAGGAAGAAACAGAAGAAGAAGCTGTTGTTCAGCACCTCAGTGGTCCACACCAAGTGACGCTCCGCCCCCAAGTCCTCTCCAGCTGCTGGTTTCTTTTTTCCTTTGCTTTGTTTTGCTGCTATAGTTTTTAAGGACTTGAGTTTGCACAGATTAGCTCTGTGGGGGGGGGGGAGGAAGGGTTTCCACAGATCAAGGGGGAAACCAAAGGAGCTAATTTAAATACATTGTTATTTTCCAGCTTCCAATATTCACACCAGAATAAAGTATTGCCACTCACATAAATGAACCTTCAGTCAAGGTTTCTAGCTCGTGCCAATTCCATCTCTTGGCCTATGTGCAGGTGGTCTTAGCATTGTAGCTCAGCTTCTGGTGCCTGGGCAGCTTGAGAGCCATCGAGGCACCTCCGTAGTGTGGGCTCTGAGGCACAGCTGTGCTCATCTGATGCCCCCTTCCCTGCTGCGTATCTCCCAGGGTTCTAGAGGACACACTAACCACAGTTCACATCTTTTTCTTTTTCTTTACAAGTTAGTCTCTTCTACCTGTTCTGGATTTTCTCTTTCTTTTTAAAGAACAGAAGGGTGTGGGCATAGATTGGATTTAGGACATCCAGCTCAAGTTGCAATTGTTTTTCTTCTGACCGGCAGAGAGCCTGTAGTGCCAAGTTCAGAGGGCTTAAGGTCTCCAAGTACACAGCAGTTGGATTTTGGACTTGCCTGGGAGAGGGAAGGCTTCTCCATGAACCTCTAAACCTAACTCCTCTCTACCTAATGGCTCAGCAAGGAAAAGCTGTTAACTCTGATTGGTTAGAAAGCTGCAGTGACCACGTGCCTACCTCATGGTTGGCATGGAGGTACCAGTGGGACAGGTCTGAGGGACAAAACTGGTAGAGGAAACCACTGCTATTGAGCTAGGACCTCCGGCTGGGATGCAGGAGGCGCGTGGGCTTGATACTGAGCTGGGCTGAAAGCAGTAAGGCCCTGTACGTCTGCATCTCTCCCCTTCTGGAGCAGTCTCATCACGTGCTGCTTGGGGTTTGGTTTGAAGCTGCGTTTCAGTGATGTGGATTGTTGTTGTTGAATAAAGTGACCTCTAGGTGTAACGTAATGGCGAAGGCAAACAGTTGCAATAAATCATATGCACAAGAGGAAGCGTGAGCCTTCTTTTTTGAACAAAAAACAAACCTAGGACTGTTGGCCAAACTGCACCCCAGGTAATCGTCTCCAGTAGAGCTCAAAAACACATCTGCAGCTTCCTTTCTTTTGCCTTCCCCTCCTTTTGGATCAAGCTGGGCCGTACACAATCAGAGCAGGCCAGAAGCTGGCCTGAGGAAGGGGCCGCTATGAGACATTGGGAGAAGTGACACATTCTTTCCACACAACCAAGAGGGCAGGAAGGAGCTGTGGCACAGGCCCAGTGATTCAGGCTGGGTTTCCTTGCCCAGCAGCTGAAACCTAGGGTGTGTTGGCTTTCTGCAATGATACTGGCCCTTGTGTTTCTCGGGAAGAAGTCCAACTGACCAGGAAAAGGCAGGCCTAGCCCCTGGTTTCTTTGGAGCTAAGTGCAACCCATTAAGGTAACTTAATCCCGTTCCAAGACCAACCAGGAAAACCAACAGGTAGTTTAATAAAAATTACATTCAGCATGAAAGTCAAAACAAATGCGTTCTTGCTCTCACGTACCTGTCCTAGAAATTCCTAAGAGCAGGGGAAGAATGACCTCACGAGGGAGGGTTAGTGTGAATAACTGGTCTGTTTTTGGTGGTAGGTGGGGGAAGGGGAGTCCTTTTCCCAGATTCCAGTGGGGCCAAATTCATTGGATTGTTCTGCCTGTGGCTTCAATGAAAACTGAGGAACCATTACAGGGAGGGAGAGGGCATTTGTTCACAGCCACAAAAATTATATTGAAAGGGGATAAGCAGCAGGAAATTCGGTTTAAAACAGTTCTTGCTTCATAAGGTCATGGTTTTCCACCACAGGGATTTTACTCCCGAATCTTCTGAGGCAGAGAACAGAGAGGCTTTGCTACCTGCCTTAGGAGACGGGGTTGAAGCCACCTTGAGCTGGGTAGAGGTGGTGAGCAGCAACTTGACTGCATCTGTGAGAGGGCTTAGCTTCCCTGCAGATATATACTCATTCCATCTCTGTGGCATCCTCTTCACTTCCACTTTCTGAAAGCTGGTCTTCCTGCGGTTCTTCTAACGAACAGCTCATGACTGACTTTCTGATGGACTCCCGTTCCTCTGCGGAAAATCAAAAGCAGGGTAATCATGAAAGACGTCTCTGGCGTGCATGCTTTTGTTAGTTTCTTCTCACTCCGCCTCAGTAGGTGAGGCTTGCCAGACAATCCCTGGCGCAGGGCCACCTACCTCCATCGGGGCAATTCTGCAGTAAGATCAGAAGCTGTCGCCTGTTGTACTGAATCAAGAACTTCTGACAGGTTCTGATGGTCCCTGACAAATCAAAGGAAAGGATTTTGTGGTCACCAGCAGAGCTGGAGTGCTTCTTGTGGGGGAGGTCCCCCTTTGATCAAGGGCTGTGAGCCAGCTCTGAGGATCGCTTTTCCGCCATCTCACTCACCTCCCACGTGCAGTGTGTTGAAGAAGCAGGGATAGCGCTGTCCCTTGTTCTCTAAATGAGTAATAAAGGGCAGAGCTGACCACAGCAGCTGGTAGAATTCCTTCCGACATCGAAGGAGCACTACCCCAGTGTAGGCATTGAGGTACTTCACTAGGAGGAAAACAGCTGTCTCAGAACATGCATGTGTCCAGAGGTTTTTATGAATTTACGAACGCCTGCCGACCTGCCCGCCCACGCCTGATCGGCAGCTGATATTGACAGAGCAGAGGCTGCTGGGATCCTGACCATGAATTGTAAGGATGTCCTTTCTAGAGTTTAAGGCCTCTGCCCCACCTCGCCCCACAGCCCCGCCCACACCCCAGGTGGCTCGTCCTGGCAGGCCAGGCTTTGGCACAGAGCACGGCCCAGGAAAGCTAAGGTCGGAGAACCCGTCTCCAGGTTGGTTCCGAGGTCTCTCTCTTTCTGGCCACAGCAGTTCTTAATGATCAAGTTTAAAGGCAAGAGATGTGCTGCAGCTTCTGCGCTCTCCACTAGGAGGCAGCAGTGTGGTCCCTCTGTTCACCAGGGAAAGCAGAAGCCAGGATGGACTGGATTCAGCTCTTTGGGACAAGTGGTGATCACCCTGTACCATTAACAGCACATGTATACAGCCAGGAACCATGGTGGTGCTCTCACTGCGCCACCAGATGGAAGCAGCAGAGTCGTGCTAGGGATCCTCCGCAGGGTGGAAGGTGGGGAGGGGTGGAGGTGTCCGAGACCACGTGAAACTGACAGAAGGCCAGTGAAGCCCATCCCACAGGAAGTGTATCAGAGGGTTACACAACAAAGTGCCGAGTGAGTTCTGAGAGGGAAGACTGTTACCAGTGGGGAGAGGTGGCGGGACCAGGGAAAGCTTCCCCGAATTTAGGAATGACAAGTGAAGAAAGGATGAATTAGTGTGGGAGCTGGAAGGGCCCTCAGCCCTCTAGTCCAAACCAAACACAAAAGGAATACCCACTAAGACATACCTAAGACCTTGGGCCAGGGTGGGGTGGGGGCAGCCAGCCTCTTGAGGCCAAACAGAATCAGTCTGTCTGATCTCCAAATACTAGAAAAAGGTCTCATGTCCCGAGTCTTCTCCAGGCTAAAGAGGCCCACCTCTTTCGACAGATCTCGTTTCTACCAGCCCAGCTGTTCTCTTGGACACTATCTGGCTTATCGACATCCTTAGATGTGCACCCCCCACTGAACACTACCTACTCCAGAAAGGGGCTGATAAAGACCATACCGTGGGAGCTATGGCCCTCTTAATGCAGCCTGAAATTGTACCGGTTTGCAGTCTACTAAACCCCCAGATCCTTCCCTTTTTAAAAAGCGATACCTGCTGCCTATGCATGCATGCCTCCGCCGTCTTGGGTTGGTGAAGTTGCTTATTTTTGTGCCCCAGTAGCCGAGCTGGCGCTCAGGTCTGGTCGACTCCCATCTCCTCAGAGTCAGCCTGTGCTCGCTAGCCTATCCCAAACCTTTTGGATTCTGTGGCTCTCCCTTCCTACTTTGGGTCATCCGCACAATGGATTAATATAGCATTCCCATCCTCATCTAAGTCGTGGATAACAGGAAGCTACTTGAAGTTCTTAAGAAAAGGAGTGATGTAGCCAGACTGGAGTTTAAGTTTGTAGTATGAAAGGCTGGAGGATTAGGATGTGACCCTGGGCAAATGACTGGACACAAGAAATGTGTTAACCCCCAGGCTATGAAAGCAAGTGACCAGTGCTGCCACAGACCTAATGAAAGCAGAAGGCGTAGGGGAAAAGAGGACCTCTGTTCTAGACCTCCTGAGGGTGAAGTGCTAGTATACAGTTCATTGACAGGCATGGGTTTAGATCTCAGGAGAGCTTAGGATTAGAAATAGAGGTGATGGTTAAAGCCCTGGAAGAGAATGAAACTGCCAAGAGTCTAGTGAAGGAAAGAGGGCCTGGGGAAAACCCTCAGGGTACACTTGCATTCAGGTGTGTAGAAGAGGTCAGAAAGGCGGAGCAGAACAAGGAGACCAGTGCTGCTGATGCAGTAAGGAAGGGGGTGTCAATTATATTACAAGCTACAGAGGCAGACTTAACGTCTTTGTATTGCAGCCACCTAGCTATCCCCATGCTCTGCTTATTGTATTTCTCGAACTGTAAGAGAACCACTGAATTTAGTAATTAAAAATGCTGATCTTTGGAGAGAGCAATATGAGTCTCGGTGAGAGCAGGAGGGAAGTTTCAAGGGGCTGAAGAGAGGAACAGTAAGGAGGTTTGGCAGGAAGAGTCAGGTGTAGGACACTTTTTCAAGTTACAGCATTTCAGTTAGAAACCTCAAAGGACATCTAATTCAATCCATACGTGAGCAAGGATCCTCTCTACAGCAAAGGCTGGATGATCTGCAGTGAATGAACCCTCACTATCCTTCTGGCTAATGGGGGGTCTTAACCTCCATTAAGCCTGCCTGCCTCTTAGCAAATCCCAGCTACTATTCCTAGTTCTGTGTTGTGGAACCACGCAAAAAAAGCCAAATTCCTCTTCCAAATGACAGCGAAAAGGAGGAGAGAGATGGGAAAGTAACTGGATGTGAGGAAAAAAAATGAAGATTTAGGACTAGAGGAAAGTAGGACATGTTTGCGGGAGCAAAGATAGAAACAGAGAGCAAACTGATACTAGACCCAGAAGGGAATGAGATCAAGGGCTTAGGAAGAGCTACTGGAGAAGTAAGGACATCTCTGACTAGACAAAAGGAGAAAGTAAATGATGATTCTGAGAAAAGGAGGAAGGGAGCTGAGGGAGTGCATGTCAGCCAGACTTCCTGCATCTGACTAGTGAAGAAAGATGCTAGTTATCTGTTAAGGCATGTGGGCCGCTGGAGGGTGGTGAGAGGAGAAAAGAAAACTTTATAACTGGCCTGGGGGAATTAAATAGGAGTTTTTAAAAGGGAGACTACAAAGATTGTCAAATAGCCACAAGGGCACAGCTCTGGCTGCATGTCACATAGATTCAAACTGGGAAGGAAGTATCAGCAAGGCAGTGCCAGCGAAACAGTGAGGTAGAGGTTGGGTACAGAAGCCATCCTGAGGAAGAAGGGGGGTAGCAGGGTACAACAGAGAGTTCTAGACTAGTCATCAATCGTGTATGACTCTGTGATCCCATCTGGGGTTTTCTTAGCAAAGGTAATGGAGTGGTTTGCCATTTCCTTTTCCAGGTCATTTTACAGATAAAGAAACTGAGGCAAACAGGGTGAAGTGACTTGCTCAGGGTCACAGAGCTGGTATGTGTCCAGGGCCAGATTTGAACTCAGGAAGGCGAATCTTCCTGATTTCACGGCAGACAACCTATGCACTGAAACCAGTTAGCTGCCCCAAATCAGGTGAGACCTGAGTTCAAATCCCACTTTTTAATAAAAAGTATTAGCTGTTATGATTATGAGAGAGTCACAACCCCTTCAATTTCTTTATCGGTAAAAGGAGGCTGATGATCCTACCTGCAGTCCCTATGTCCCAGGGCTGTTGGGAGAATCTGAATGACTGTATCTAAGATTTTGTAAATCATAAACCTAAATAAATGTCAGCCCTTTCTATGCAGGGTTTAAAACCAAATTTAATTAAAGTATGAGGATGACAGACATGGGCTGGAAGAGGGCTGAACCCAGCACCGTGGGAGGTCACCAGGTGAGCCGGGGTTTCCTCACCTGTAACTGACGGGGCTGGACCCAGCTAGGAGGTTGGGATCACGCAGTTTCCTCCCAAAGTGGGCTAATTCCCGAAAAGCCAAGGCTAGGAATCCCCATGCCCCGAGGGCGATGAAGAGGAGAAAAGTCAGAACCTAACGAGGGTGCTGGGGACCTGAGTCTGGGCTGCCTCGGACACGGACAAGCACTCGGTAGGCGCCCGCTGCGCGCCAAGCGCCGGGGACCCCCGGAATGACCACGGCGGGGTCTCCGTCCTCGCCGAGCTCAAAGTCCGGCGAGCAGGGCCGAGGAGGGGCATTCCCCCGGCCGGGGCACCCTCCCGTCCGGCTCCGGCCTCACCTGTGAAGGCCACGGCGCAGGCGGCCGCGCCGAAGGCTCCGTGCGCCCGGGCGATGGCGTCCCGCACGAGGCCGAAGAGGACCCGCTCCTCTAGGCAGGCGCGGCAGCGGGGGTCCTCCGACACCAGCTCGCACAGCAGGTACCTGAGGCGGGGACGAGCGGAGAAGCGAGTGAGCGGGGGGGGGGGCCGGGACCGGGCCGGGGCCGGGGCGGCAAGCGAGCGAGAACGGGCGCTGGGAAACCTCACCTGTGTTTGAATCGCACCATCTCCACAGCGACGCCACGGGCCGGACCGGAAATCCGGGGTCCCCGGATGGACCAGCATCCTGACCAATGGCAGCAGAGCCGCTTCGGCACGGCAGCCACTGAGATCTCGCGGCGACAGAGGTGGGGCGGGGTTTAAGACGCAGGTTGTTCGCCCGCTCCGCGCGTGCGCGAGCTAGCGCCTGACTTTGGGATCGATTTGCCCCCAGGCCCGGCGGCTGCGCTGCGCACGCGCTCTGCGCACCCGCAGGCAGTCTACCTGCTTCTAGCTGCAGGCTAGGCTTGGTAGGACTTTCTGACGGCTGGGCCTTATAGCTTGCGAGGAGCGGCGAAAGTTCGGGCCTGGGTGTCCGGAGACCCCTTCATCTCCCCTCTCCGTGCCGTTGCACCGACAGCCCCCCATGCCTAGAATGCTTTCCCTCCTCCCTGATGCATTTGGCCTCCTTCAAAACTGAGCAGATAGGGGCAGCTAGGTGGCGCAGTGAATAGAGTACTTGCCCTGGAGTCAGGAGGATGAGTTCAAATGTGAACTCAGACATATAACGCTTACTAGCTGTGTGACCCTGGGCAAGTCACTTAACCCCATTGCCTAGCCAAAAAACCAAAACTCAGCAGATCTCGTCTTCCTTCTCAGGAGACCTTTCCAGGTGCCCTTGACTGCTAATGGTTTCCCCTTTCACCTACACTGTAAATATATATATTTAATTATCTACTTATGTTTATCCACTGGGCATGGAGTCAGGGAGGCCTGAGTTCAAATCAGGCATTTACTAGGAGTATGACTCTGGTGGAGTCACTTCACCCTGTTGGCCTCAGTTTCCTCATCTGTAAAATGGGTTGGAGAAGGAAATGTCAAAGCAGTCCAGTATCCTTCCGAGAAAACCCCAAATAAGCTCACAGAGTCACACACGACTCAACAAACCTCCCTTTGTAAAGCACTTTGCAGACATTAAAGTCACATATACATGCTTTATTATTATTATTATTATTATTATTATTATTATTATTATATCTTCTATCACACGTCTCCCTCATTTGAATGTACACTTCTTGAGGGCAGGAGAAGTTTTTGCCTTCTGCAGATATTTTCCTAGCTATGTTAGCTTTTACTCTATAAATGTTTATAAGTATCTTATCTACCTATAATAATAATAATAGCTAGCCATGATATAGGGTTTAAGGTTTACTTTTTGTTTTACAAATATCTCCTTTGATCCTCAGAGCAACCCTGGGAAGTAGATGCTGTTATTTCTCCCATTTTACAGATGAGGAAACTGATGAGGCAGATACCAGGGCAGTGATCCTGCGAGGCACTAGTCATATTTACACATTGTCTCCCCCATTATACTGTGAGCTGCTGGAGGGCAGGCTGTCTTTGCCTTTCTTTGTATCCCCAGAACTTAGTTCAATGCTTGGCCCACAGTAGGTGCTTAATTAATGCTTGTAGATTGTGAGCTCCTAGAGTAGAGGGATTGTTGATTTTGCCTTTCTTAGCATCCCTATTGCCTGCAACATAGCATGTTAGTTTATAAATCCTTTGTTTCATTCTTACAGCAGCCCAGGATTTCTCCTGGACAGTGTAGATTTAACAAGTAGCCGGAACTTTTTTTTCCTTTTTTTTTTCTTTTGGTGAGGCAATCAGGGTTAAGTGACTTGCCCAGGGTCACACAGCTAGTGGCAAGTGTCTTAAGGCCAGATAAGAATTCAGGTCCTCCTGACTCCAAGGCTGGAGCTCTATGCACTGTGTCACCGGGCTGCCTCAGGATTTATTTTTAGAAGTGAGTTCAAATGGTACCTGTGACTCTAATAGCTTTGTGACAATGGACAGCTATAAATTTTGGGACTGACCCCTGGCCCCAGATAAGCGGTAATATCTTCCCTATTTGTAGGATTGTAAACTTTTCTAAACTTTTTTGTATTCATTTTTCCCTCTTTAATTCATTTATTCAACAAGTATTTATTACATCAGCAGTGACCTCACAGTCTAACTAGGGGTGTTACACCTAGCCATTAGAAGTTTATAAGTATGTAAGCTAACCTTAAACGTTTAACACAGCTAGGAAAATGTCTGCACAAGAAAAAAAGTGTCTGCCCTTGAGCTTACATTCAAATGGGGGAGATAGAAGAGATGATGATGATGATGCAGAGTAGGGGGAGGGGGAGGAGGATAAACAAGTATTTATACTTGCGACTTGGGACGTTAGAAATCATTTTGTCCAATCCCGTCATTTTGCATTTTGAGAAAAATAAGGTTCAGAAAAGGCTCTTCCTCCCTCTCTTTTCTCCTGGTAGAGTGGAAGGGGCTTTGGTTGGGAGATCAGAAGCTCTGAGTTCAAATTTTGACTCAGCTCTTGATTCCCTGTAAAACCAGGTGCTTCCCTACTGGGAAGGTTGGACTAGGTGATCTCCAGATTCTTCTGCTTGAAATCCTTCGATCCAGGAATGTTCAGTTGAATGTATCGGACTCCTGGAAGATCGGTCCCTCCTCGCTGGTTCTCGCCAGCAGGGGGCCTCGGCCGCCCACAAAGCGAACAGACTGGGGACATTCTCGGCTCTGCAGGTAGATCAGGCGAAAACTTCAGAGGGGCAGAGACGAGGGTGCTTGGGGGGAAATGTTGGCTTCTGGAGGAGGAGGAGGGTGCAGAATGAGGGTCTAGCCCCAGCTTTTGATTACCTGCCCTCCCGCAGGAGACAGGGAGCTAGAAGCTAGCTGGAGAAAGAGGAAGACAGGTGGCTGGCTGAATTTGAACAGTACAACTTGATTTCGAATCCCCACTCTGCCATGACCTGTGTGACCGACCTTGAGCAAGTCACTCTCTGGGGCTCAGTTTCCACATCTGTAAAAATGAGAGTTTGGCCTTGATGATTTGTATGGTCCCTTCTAGCTTTGCATCACAGTGCCTGGCACATAGTAGGCGCTTACTAAATGCTAATTCACTTACAAACTAGACGCAAGCCTCGGGACGAGGACCTCTTGTTCAGCTCTAGGAGCCCGAAGCTCTTACGGGGACTGATGCCAGCGTCTGAGATGACCGCGACTATTCCAGCCCGCGATTCCCTGCCTCCTAGCCGGAGGGGTGAGAGGGGGCAAGACGACCGGGCTGGGAGGATGCTCCCGGGGTGGTAGGGTGCTTCGGGGCGTGCCGCCGGCGGCGCAGCCAGCTCCCAGCGGTAATTAGCGGGCTCAGTCTCCCGGCTCAGCCAGCCGCTAATTACACGTCTCCTAATGAGGCCAGGCGGCTGTTTGCAATCACCCGGGCCCCTGCCGTGCAGAGCAGGAGGCTTCGGGGGAATCGGGCTTGGGGGGGCAGGGTAGGGGGGTGTGGGGAGCCGTGTCCTTCAGGGAAGGGGAAAGGAAGGGCAGCCCAGGCTGGGGGCTTTGGGCAGAGGCGAGAAGCCAGTATATCTCACGTGGTGGTGGTGCTGGGGCACTGCGGAGAAGGGGGAGGGGGTGTCACACGGGGGCCAAGGACATAGGGTGGTCACACACACTCCTAGGGTGCATCCCCCTTTATAGGACAAAGTACATCTCCCTGGCTTCTTAAGTCCCAACTAAATCCCACCTCCTACAGAAAGCCTTCCCCAACCCGTCTTAATTCCAGTACCTTCCCTCTGTTCTTTATTTCCTATTGATCCTGTACGTAGCGTGCTTTGCATATATTTTTTTCGCATGTTGACCCTCCCATTAGATTGTAAGCTCCTTGAGGGTGGGGACTGTCTTTTGCCTCTTTGTGTCTCTAGCACTTAACACAGTGCCTGGCACACTGTAGCTGCTTAATGAAGGTTTATTGATTGATTATTTTATTAAAAAAAGTCTATAGATATCTTTTATTTCTCAATCATTTCTGGAGCCCTCCCTTGTAACAAAGTTAAGCAAAACTAAAGGAGGAAAAGACCACCTCTGGCCTTGTATGCATCATGTCTCACCCCTTTCGGGGGTTTCCCTCCTTTACCAGGGTATGTCTCAGGTAGCTGTTCTTGGGGACCAAGATTGGTCATTGGTGATTCCTCAGATAGAGTGCTGTTCACTTTCCACGTTCTTTTCATTTCAGGCTGGGGGTGGGGTGGTTTGCCCCATTTTTTTTCTTTCACATTCCTGCTGCTCCTTCTTATTTGACCCTCACAACAACCTCCAGAGGCAGGTGCTATTATTATCCCCATTTCACAGATGAAGAAATGGAGACAAATTTAGAAACAAATGCTGTTATTCAAATCAGTCCTCATCCTTCTTGATCTCTTGGTATCCTTTGACCCTCTGGACCATCTTCTCCTAGATCAGGGGTGGGGAACCTCTAGCCTTGAGGCCACATGTGGCCTTTTAGGTCCTCGGGAGCGGCCTTTTGACTGACTCCAAGTTTTACAGAACAAATCTTTTTATGAAGCGGGTTTGTTCTGTGAAGTTTGGATTCAGCCATGTGGCCTCAAGGCTGCAGGTTCCCCACCCCTGTTCTAGATTCTCTCTCCTCGCTAGGTTTACTTGATTCCTGGTTTTCTTATTCATCTGATTGCTTCTTCTCTGTCTCCTTTGCTTAATCATCACCTATAAGACTCCCTAACCATGGATTTGAAAAGGGGAAGGGAGTGGGTGGGGCATGGTGTTGAAGTCAGAAGCACAGTTGAGGGAAGAATGACTTGGGCTCCTCCTCAAAATGGAACCACTTAGAGGAACTCACCAACGGGAGAAAGGGGCCAGTATGGCAAAGCAATATTCAAGGAGAGAAGGATTGAAACCCTGATGTCATATGACCTTTACTCCTCTCTCCATCACCCCACATATCCAATTAGTTGCCAAATCTAGTAATGTCTTTCTCCACATCGTTGCTCCCACAATTTTCCCGGCACATTTCTTGTATGCACCCCCTCCTCCCTGCCACTATCACCCTAGTACAGGTCCTCCTCACCTCTCTCTAGCTATTGCCCTCTTACCTAGCTATTGCAATTGGCTTTTTTTTTTATAATTTTGATCACATTAAATTTTTTTTTTTTTGGTTGGGCAATGAGGGTTAAGTGACTTGCCCGGGGTAAGTGTTATTTGTCTGAGGCCGGATTTCACCTTAGGTCCTCCTGAATTCGGGGCTG